CGTTTCATAAGAGACGTAAGTGATCATGACGTAAGAAAGGCCAATGATGACAGGTGTTAAAAGCGAAATTAATGCGCCGATGTACATCGATTGACAAACTGTGCGAAGAACGGATGGTCTGAGTCGCTTCCAAGCCATTTCATCATCTTCATTTTGCTGTTCGTCTTCGCTCCCTTCTGGTGAGCTTGCGTTGATGATACGATATCTAACTCGAGAATTACCGACTGACAAGAGATCATAATCGTGGTCCGATAGCGGTGAATATTCCTGATATATAGGTTTATCAACGGGCTGACAATTCCACTCTCGGCCCTAACTGCTTAAGCTACCGTCGTAACCAAAGATCTCCACTTCAGGCTCCTCAGGGTCGTAATGCTCCGTCACGCCGCGTGTGAAGCTGAATAAAACACGAGCAAAAACTTCAATCAGCCAACTGTTATTCATGGTCTGCGCTACAGAGTTTCGAGTGAACACTTTAGATCTTCGAAACCAAATGAACATGTTTCGAATAAGCTCCAGGCTTTTTTTTATGATTTTTTGAAAGTGAAAGTGCTAACAAAGCAGAAACAATACTCCGGCCATCTGCATGTTGGCGAAAGTATTGACTACTCCGCTTGTTCAATGAAAATTTGAGAAAAAGATGTTGAAGATTAACGTTATCAATTATATATATTTCTATCGTTTGAATTTTAAACAAATCCTTATAAAGAGGTAGTCAGAATGAATACTTCAGCTCGTTGACATCTAATGAACATCTTATCAATAAGCTCCAGTTTGTTTTATAGTATGAATGTTTGATGTTTTGATATTTCGTTTTCTGCTAAAAATAGCTGAGAGTAATGAGTTAAATGAGTTTCTCTGTAGGGTAACAACATTTATTTAAAAGATCAATCTAAATGATAAAATTAATTCTAATGTAAAGTAGACTTTAGAAAGATCAATCAAAATGAGAAAATTAATTCTAATGTATAGTATACTTTAAAAAGATCAAAGATTTGATATTGGCATAACAAGCATGTGGTATAAGTCAATCGGCCTCGTGTCTGTTCTTGCATCAGCCTATGTAGGTGAAAAACGAATCCTTTGCAAATTTGCGTAAATCGTTTGCCATCCGAACATCAATTTTATTGGTGATTGAGTGGTTTTTCACAAGCGTATCTCTTGCGATAGATGCACACCATCAGAACATGGCCGTCATGGCTGTTTGGCGGAAAAGATGGAGAAGGGATATACTTGCAGCAATTGTTAATGCAGTTCCCTTAGCATTGTGGTCCAGCGGGTGTATCATAGAAATTTAACACGGGCGGTTCAGTGAAACTAAGCATCTTAGCAAAATGCCCTTTTCTTGAGAGTGCGCAATAGTTGAGGAATGTGGACTAAATTAAAGTTCCCTTGGTCTTTGAGCTATATTTACCTGGATTTGATTAATAGGAGCTCAAACTGAGTGGAAAATGGATAGTTTCACGAAATTTATCTCGAGACATGACTTAGTTATTCTTTCAACGAATTGTGAACAGATCGAAATGTTATATCAATACTAAATAAGCCTGGGGTATCTTTAATACTTAAACTGAGAAGAATAAACCAGCTCTTAGTTGCTTGAGTTTCGTTGAGTATAAAATTCCATAGCAAGAGAATAAGTATTTTCAAAGTAATTATTGATTTTGTGGAGGTTCAAACGTTTATATCGCCGATGTCAATCTCTGTTAATGTACAACAACCATTGCTTTTCTGACTTTAACGAAATGAGGAGGAATATGATTATACATTAGAGAAACTATAAACATTCTGATTGAGAGAATTTAGTCAGTATACATAGGTGTGTAAAGTTGACATGAGCAGATATTGGGTTATCATGTTTAGTTCAAAGTCTGCCTACTTTCCTAGTCCGTTGTCGGTGAAGTGAAGATTCTTTTCGATCTAAAACTTTGAAGCAGGGGTTTGGTTCACTGCGTGGAATTCTCTCATGAGTGCATCAGAAATTACATGCAAGTGTGAGGTTCAATAAAGGGGGTAAGTTTTTTAAGAAAATGTGGTGCTGTGTCGGTGGGAGAGTATAGCAGGTAATTTAATGTTAACAATTCAAGTGAGTTGAAAACGTAAATTGGCCACCGTAAAGGGTAAAAGATTGGTCATTGGTGGTTTATTATGATGTTTTGAAAGTGAAAATGCTAA